TTGTATGGGTAACAATATAGTAGAATATGTAAAAATACAGAATATGTGGAAATTTATTATATTAATAGAGTTCTAATTAGATGGGGGTGTTTTTAAATCTTTTTCTTTTGTTTATCTGTATATTTGATTTTTCTAAAATAGGCATTTTCTTTGCATAACAGGTCATTGTTATTTTTATTTTTCCTTACAGCACTGGTGTCCTGAAGGAATTTGCATCTGACCCAATATGAGCACCAAGCTTGGTCAAACCCTGTGTCTGGTGTGAGGGGCTGGGGACAACTGAGGCAGATGTTGGCCTGGGAGGGGACGGGGAAGTCCACTCACTTGTCACATAAGTCCAGTTTTCCACCGTGCTCAGAAAACCAGAAATTCAACAACAGCACTTCCTGAGTTCTGGCCTTGAGAAAGGGGCCTCCCCACTCTCCCACTAAAGGACCATGTGTGCCTGCGTCAAAATGTGACATTTTATCCCAGGAGAGAAGGAGGTCCAGGGAGCGCTGTGTTCACTAGTCTGTCTGTGACCTGGGCCCCATCGGGAACGAGGCACTGTTTAGACGCTGGGGCTGCAGGAGAGAATAAAGCAGACAGAACTTCCTGCCCACACGGACCTTTCTGTGGGGAGAAGAGAAAGCAATAAGCAGATAGAGGGAGAGCTGGTGACTGGCAGATGGAGCTGAGGGGACCTCTGAGAGGTGCGGGACAGCAGCATCCAGGAGCAGGAGGCCCTGTCTGATGGGACATGTGAGCAAGGATCAGGCAGAAGGGACCCAGAGGACAAGGTTCCAAGCAGCACGGACCAGTCACATCTGAAGGCCTGAAGGAAGCTGGTGTGGCCTCGGAGCTGACGCCAAGAAACCCGCAGCAGCCACCTCCAGTGACCATGACAGACAATTCATTCCACGTGAACAATGTTCTCCCAGGTGAAATGGGGAAGGTCGGTGGGTGTAGACGGGGAAATGAGATGCTCAGGTTTATATGTCAAAAGCTTGTTCTTGCCACTGTGGGAGGGGCAAGGGTGGACTGCAAGGCCTGCCAGGAGGTCACGGCAGGGGTGGGGGTGAAGGCAGCCGGGACCAGGGCGGACGTGGGAAGGGAGAATGAAGGTGGGCTGATTTGTTCAGTCTCCAGAACTGGCTCCAGAACTGGCTTTAAACAGGAGAAAGACACGATTCAGCCTGTTTGTTTTTGTGTTTTAATTCTATGTATTGAGATATAATTCTTCTACCATACAATTGGTCCATTTAAAGTGTGTGATTCAACAGGTTTCAGTGTATTCACAGGGTTACAGAACCACCACTATGCCTGACTGTAGAATGTTTTCATTGCCCCACGAGAAGCTGTGCACCCCTTAACCACTAACCCCCACTGCACTTTGTACCACATTTACGTTCCCATTCTTCAACTGATGGACAGCTAGTTCATTTGCATTTTGGCTATTATGGATAATGTTGCTGCGAATACTTTGTAGCAGCTTTTGTGTAGGTGTATGTTTTAATTTCTCTTGGGTATACACCCAGGGATGGAACTGCTGGTTTATATGACAACTGTGTTTACTGCATGAGGAACGGCCAGACTGTTTTTCCAAAGTGGCTGCAACGTGTACATTCCCACCCACGGTGTCTGAGGGTTGGAGTCAGTTTTAAGATCATTCCGGCTGCTGTGTGTAGGATGGTTTGGAGGGAGGCCAAGGAGAAGTGCAGAGACCTAAACAGTTATGGAAAAGTGGCGTCATCTCAGTAGGGTTCAAGGATACCCCACTGAAGGTGTTCTTCCTGCTGTTTATGGCAAAACGATTTTTTGCAAGATAGCTGCCTTTACATCATGAATCATGTTGTTAAATTAAAAGACCTCTTCCAATGGAGAGGCCTTGTTAAAACAGATCTGCAGTTTTCAAACCTAGAATCCTAAGGCAAACTGGTGAGAGACTGCTTAACCAGCTCCCAGAACAAGCTCCTGCAAGCAGCAGGGTTTTCCAGAAAATCTGAGGGAGTCAGTGGGTGCAGTAAAACGTCCTTGCTTTCAAGCCTTGTAAACACAGGGCTCAAGTGGCAGCTGGTTGCTGGGGACACCTGTGGCGACAGCCCTCACTGCTGCAGCCTTCGGACACTGCCCTGGCCTCTAGCCCCACAGCAGGGCTGGCTTTGCCCTAGGGGGCTGGTTTTGACAACCGGGCAGCAGTTCTATCCCTCCGAAGGGCTTCCGGTTCTGGAAGCAAAGGCAAAGCAACATCTGTCAAGCTCTCATTGTGTCCGGCCCTGGGTGAGGTGCCCCACTTACAGATATAAGCTAAATTAGCGAAACCTCAGAGCAAATCACCAAGGAAGGAGGAATTATCTTTCCCAATTACAAGGTGAGCAAAGTTGGTCCCTTTCCGCTAGAAGGTCATGAAAGGCTTCTCTGAAGAGATGGCGCCTCAGCAGGAGGAAGAGCATTCCAAGGGTAACCCCAATATTGTTCATTTGTCCTGCAGGTGTCTTCACTTTTACCGACAGTTAATTTTAAATCTATACATATCCGTACAAATAAGAGTAAGAAGTATCCATCTAGAAATATATCAAGTTCAAACTCATTTCAAAGATCACTTCATGTAGAAAGTATAATTCTTTTTCCTTAATACTTCTAATTTTATCCTCGGTCCTGTCCTCCAGGACAACGTCCCTCCACCCCATCCCTGCCACCTCCCCACCCAGTCCTACCCACTCCCATCCAGTATCATTGTTTCTGCTTAAGTGTCTTGACAGACCTTGGTCAGATTCTGGGACATGACGAGAAACAGCTCCCTTGATTGAGTTGTGCTGGAAGCAGTGGCTTTGACCTCCAGAACTCCCTCCCCATGAAAAAAAGGAAGTGTGTACAGAGACAGGAGCCCCCCCTGCCCATATCCACAGAAAGGCGTTCCAATGCCTCTCCTGAGTGCCCGAGACCGAGGACAATACCAAACTCCATACAAGCTGTGTTTTCTCCTATACATACATACATACCTATGATAAATTTTAAATAATCAATTAGACACAGTAAGAGATTAATGACAATAACATAATAAAATAGAATAATAACAACAGTATATTGTAATAAAAGTTATGTGAATGGCTGTGGGCCGTTACTAGGTAACATGAGGGTGACCTGAACTCCAGCACCCCCAGCACGGTCCATCTGGACACCCCCATGGCCCCCGAGTGGCTAATGGGCGGGAATGGACGTGGAAGTGCCGCCGTCCTGACGAACTCCCTCTCCACGGCTGAACGCTGCAGGGCTTCTAACACGCGGTTCTGAACCTGTGTTCACGTCAAAAGCTCTCCAGACGCTCTGGGAACACAGTGAAGCCCCCCTGCCACTCTGCCCTCCCCTTCTGAGATGGGGACCTGGGCCTCCTGTGCCTTTTGTTTTTAGCTTTTTATTTAGATATATTTTCAAGCATAGAGGGGAAATGCCAAAAAAAGAAGTACAGTGAACATCTGCAAACTGTTTATCCAGATTCATCTAGTCTTACCATTGTGCACCCCTTGTTTTATCATTTGCTCCCCCTTCTCTATTTTATTTTCTCTACTTTGTTTATAAAGGAAAATGCTCTGAGAGTAAGACACCACACTTACTTTCTTAAAAGACACATTTCAACATGCATTTCTTCGGAATAAAGAGATTTCCTCACATAGCCTCAGTGTAGTTGTCAATGCCTGTGGATTTAACATTGATACAAGTATTTGTATTTCCTCTGTCCCCATATTCTTCTCACTGGTGTGTTTTTAAAAGCTCTCCAGGTGGATTTAATATGCGTCCTGGACTTTGGACCACTGTGTAAATAAATATTTATTTACTATACTAACATATGTTAGCTGTTTAGCAGGTGCACAGCACTGTAAATAAATTAAGGAATTCCTCATTTTATTTATTAATCCTCAGCCGAGGACATGTTTTTCTAGATTTTTAGAGAGAGTGAAAGAGAAACATCGACCCGTGGCCTCCCATAGTGCCCAGACCCAGGACCAAACCCTGCCTGGGAATTGAACCCACAACCTCTCAGTGCGTGGGATGGTGCTCCAAGCAACAGAGACAGCTGGCCAGGGCAGGGGAATTGGAGGGAGAGAGAGTGTCTCACACACTACTGCACAAAACCAGGGCCTGGAGTTTATTATGACGTCAAAAGGCAGCCCCAGGGGAAACAACCAGATTCAGGCACTGGGATCCACGGTGGAAGGCAGAGAGGGAGGCTGTCCTTCATCTCCCCGCAAGGCACAGCAGGGGAACCTACCCAAGGCGCTCCTAACTGGGAAGCCACAGAGGGTCAGTAAAGGGCAGAGTGGTGTCTTCTTGCTGATGTTCCTCAGGAGGACAGCACAGTCTCTGGAGGTTCAGTCTGGGCCCTGGGATGAGGTGAGGAGACGGGCTGGCTGACCTCCCAAGGTCCTTTGTAACCCACAATTAAATGGTGAAGCCTGCACTTGCTTATTTACACTCCTGCACACGTCCACACCCGATTTGCTAGCAAGTCCTCTGGGCTGCCTTCCAGGTTTAGTACCGTGCCACGCAAGCTACTGACACTGAACAAATGACTCAAATATTTGTTAAATGAAGGAATAAATGAATCAAGTGTTTACAGAGAGTGCGCATGACCTCGTGACTGTCAAGTACCTCGATGAATGAAACCACAATATTCCAAACACTTGGGCAGAGGCAGCAGCCACCCCCCACCCCCGCCCAACACACACACACACGCACTGCTTCAGCTGGATTAGCATCCGCACCTGGGGAGCACAGAGCACCTGCTCAGCACGCAGGCTGTAGCAGTTTCTTGCCAAGGATCTTCTTGCTCAGCTGCTTTAGGACGGTGCCTCCAGAAGGTCAAGTCACCAAGATTCAGGACCGCTTTCCTTCTGGGTTGGCCTCTGAGGCAAAGTTTCAGCCTGGATTTGGCCTGGGCCTCCCCTGGGCACGTCCGCACTCGCTCCCCACCCCGGGAACCCCGGGAGTGCAGCTAGCCTGCTCGCTGCACCTCACCTTACCTTGGTGAGCTGCGCTATCTTCTTGCACATTTTCACGTGCATCTCGGGGTCGCAGTCCATTCTCCAGCAGGCGCCGCCGTGGGCCTCAGCTTTGGAGCCCAGGCAAGTCCCGGGTGTGTGAATTTTGCTGTTGAGGGCAGAAGCCATCGCTAAAACGCGTCCGGAGCCTATGGGCTCTGGCTCGTGTTCTCGCTGCTTACGGTGTGCACGTGTGTATGCGCGCGCGCGCGGGTGTGGGAGCGTGTGGGCTTTCTCTGGAGAGGCGGCACTGCAGTCCCGCCGCCCGCACTGCCGCGTGGCCCCTGCTCCCCCCGGACGGCCGCCTCCCGGCCGCCCGTGCGCCCACTCTCCCCCCTCTGGCGCTCTCGCTGGCTCTGCGGGCACCCGCGCCCTGCAGCCAGGGGGCGAGGACCCGCACGTGCTGCTCGAGATCTACGCCCTGCTCCCTGGCCGGTGCGAGTGTTTGCCTGCAATGATAGGGCTTAACGAGAGCAGGAGCCACTGTCTGTGGAGAGGTTTGCGCTGGCCCCGCGCGGCGCTCTCCGACAAGTGGGTGGTGCCGGGCTCTAGACCCAGTGGCGACGGACCCCGCCCGTGGTGGGCATCCCTGGCTAGGGAAGAAGAGGAGCCGGCCTCAGCCTCCCGCAGCCGGAGCGCAAGATCTGGGGAGGAGCCCCTGGGATATGCTTCAGGGTGAACGCAGTGACGGGGAACCCGGCACCTTCGCCAGCTTACTCAGCAGGCAGCTCAGGAGCCTCCGACCCACTGTTTGGGGTGGGAGGGTGAGATGATGAGAGCGGGGCAGGGAGGTGAGAGCGAGTGTCCAGGACGAGAGGAGGTGAGGGGGCCCAGGGCACGCAGTGTGGGCCCCGTGGGGTCTGCAAAGGGGAGTCCCCACTTCCCCCATCTTGGAGAGGAGCCAGACGTAGCGGGAGGATTGCCCAGGATCACCAAAGGGAAAAGCCAAAGGGGTGGCCCACGAGCTGGTGCCTGAAACCGGGGGCGACAACGGCGCAGTGCAGGGGAGGAGGAGGAGCTCAAAGAAAGGTGGATAGGACAGTGGCAGGTGTGGGAAAGGAGGAGGAACTGAAGAGTAATTGAGTAGCAGATGAGCTGAAAGCCAAGTAAACCAAGGCCAGTGAAAGTGAAGCGACTCGTCCTCATCCACACTCCCAGATTGAGTTTGTGTCTGTTAGTTTGTTTGGTGAGTGGGGAGGTGAGCGGGCTGATCCCCCCCGCAATTTTTTTTTTTGATGGCTCAATTTCTCTGGTTTCAGTGGGCTTTTAGGAAAGTGACAGCACCCCATCCAGATTTTCCTAAAGTGGAGTTAGCGTCATTGAGTTTTAATAATCTTGATAAATAAAGCAAGCAAGCTTCAGAGAGTCTCAGAAACCACACATCTATCCACTCTGCAGGTACAATAACTATTTTTATAGATGAGGAAATAGACACACAAAAAATTGTGCCAAGTTAGGCAATTGCAAGTAGCAGACTTATGTCTGAAACTGAGATATTCTTATTCTAAATTCCTATTTTCATCTCAGTACATTACACTACATAGGAATGACCAATCTGAGTTTTGGGTTCCCAGTTTATCATTTTAGGGTCCTCTCTAGAACAGTCCCCTCCCCCAATTCACTTAGAAAAGAGAATGCCTGGCCCTCACTGGTGTGACTCAGTGGGCTGGGCAATGCTCTGCAAATTCCATTCCCAGTCAGGGCACATGCCTGGGTCGTGGGCCAGGGACCGCCTGCCAGGTTGTGGGCAAGAAACAGATTGATGTTTCTCTCTCTCTCTCTCTCTCCTTCTTCCTAAAAAAAAGTTTTTTTTTAAAAGAAATATCCTGGACTCCCTGCATCAAAACTCTCTGGAGTTGGGTGTTCAGGGATCTATATTTTACACAAGTTCTCTACTTCATAAATTCCAAATTGCATATTTAGAGTATTTTCTGCAGAGTGTTAACACATGCTGAATTTTACAGGAATTCAACCAGTGTATAAACTACAGGGAAATGAGCCGTTTTGGTCCAGAACTTGACTAAACCCTGTTCTCCATTCTGGAAGAGACCATTAGTGGCCATGTGGTTCATGGTATTTGGTTGCTAACCCAACACATTTGTATTATAACTGCCACATTCATGGTGAGTCTACCTATATGTGCAAACATCTGAGTAGCATGATGCCATAAAGTTAATCACCCCAGAGAATTTCTATATTGAAATGCATGGCTATAATCTTTCCTTTTATTTCTCCTTTATTTACTGTCAAGAAATTATACTGATTTTAAAAGTGTGTGTAATAATTTAAAAATTATCTGTGAATTTCAAGATAGCAACATGAACATTGTAAAAAAGGTGATGTTGGGTCTGCATAGAACCACCGCTCCAGATGACCGTGTGCACACCGAAGTTTAGTAAAACTGCAGTCCAACCCCAAGTTTTACTCCCTTAAATACAACGTTATAAGATCCAGGGGCCAAAGTGTTTTCCAGTAGAAAACAGTATATTATACTCTCAGCTTTATAGTGGGGAAGCCAGAAGTCAGTGGGGAACTGGATTCCCTTACCAGCTTCATTGGGCCACATCTACTGTAGTCTGGGTACCATAACTGACCCGGCTGGAGAAGAGTCCCTGCAGCTGCTGGGACTCTCTAGCACTGCGTTCAGTTGGTCCTTTCACACTATCAGGCATGAAATCGAGGGGAAGGTGAGGATTCAGCACTCTACCAAGTACAGGGGTGGAAGAGCATTTATTAGCGCGCTACGGTAATATTGACATTGTGCTATGCCCTTTGCAAGTGTTCTCACCTCCACTAAGGCATCATTATCTCATTCTACAGACTAGAAAACCGAAGCTAAGGGAGGCTATGAAGCCAGTTTTATGCAGCTAGTAAATGGATCTGTGTCTGTACAACTTCAAAAGCTATTCTCCCCAGAGCAAAATGCTGGCCATGGGAAACTTTTAAAAACCAAAACTGGTTTGATTTTTCTTTAGCTTATAAAAACATAAGCTTTTTTTGTAGTACCTCCCCATCTCACCTATAATAACATAAAAAACGAATGCAAGAAAGCAAAAATCACCCCAAGAAAATTACTGTTAATATTTTGAGATCCTGGAAGAATCTCAGTGTACAACCTAGAAAATTTTATATACAAATATGTATTTTAACATGTAAACAGGGTGCTGTAAATGTTTTTGAACACTATTCATTCAATAAAAACTGACATACATTGTTTTCTTTTGCCAATAAAGGTCATTGCTATTATTAACAGCTGGTACTCTATCATACACAACGATGACTTAGCCTATCACCTGTTGAACAATTCTTTTTTTAAAATTTTAAGCACATTTTAACATATGTTTATAGTTTGTGTTTGTTGTATTATGAGAATATTCCATTGTTTTAAAGAGCAGGAATAATGAAAAAGATCTGAGACACGTGAGAAAGAATTCTTCAGATGTGTACAGACAGTACACTGGGAGACATGATAAAGATAGAATGGAATTTACGTAAAAAGGATGGAAGAACCAAGAGTGTTACTAACCGAAAAAGATGGGAAGAATAAATTGTGAGGTGGAAACAATGCCACCTTCAGGCGGACAGCTGCATCACCCCTAAAACTGTGGGCACCCATTCACTGTGGACACCCATGCGGGCCCCAGGCATGTTCTGCCCCAGAAACAGGTGTGAAGCGTGGCTCTCAGCTGGCTGCTAACCAGGCATGCTTGCCCCCGTGCGCTTCTGACAGCGCAAGCATGTACCACTGATCTACGCGTCCGTCCTCCGCTCCGCCCCCCGCCGGTTTCAGCTGTGGTTCTCCTAACCACACCATCAGAAGTGCAGGCAGGTGCCCCAGAATGGACGTGACATTGAGTAACACAGGATTCAGGTAACGTGGACCTCTCACCTCCATGTCTTAACCTTCACTATGCTTTCCAATGGACTTCATCTTAAAAGTGATTCAATACACCAAGTGATCTGAGCATCTTAATTTGGGATGTCAAGTTTCCTGGCTCAGACATCTGGGATGACCTGCCTGAGTGTATCTGGGGGTTATTATTGCATCAGGACAACTTCCTACTTGACATGACACACGGATCTTTGCACAGATGTGCAAGTATTATCATAGGAATAGATCCTAAAGTTAACCAATTTCAAAGAGAAGTAAATTTTAAATGTCGATATATTTTGCTATGCTATTCTCCAGATGTCATTCCAATTCACACTCATTAACAGTGCACAAAAATGTACATTTCTCCATGTCCTTGCCCAAACAAGCCACTACTGATCTTCAAACATCTTCAATAAGTGATAAATGTCTCCCTCTGTTTGCTAGGAGGGCTGCTGGAACGCCTTTCTGCAAACTGACCAGTTATCGGAATCAAACCTTTTGTACACTGCTTTCAGCTGCCTTTCTTCCTTCTGTTGAAATAACTCTCTAGACCTAAGATGCAGCTGTTCCTGCCCAGGGTGCCAGGTCAGCAAATTGAAAGGTAGATAACTTTGTGTTTCTGTAACTCCTCTGCTTGACCAGAAATGTTGCATACCCAGTCAGCCCATCTCCAAACGCCAAGCCAACTCTGGGTTCTACACTTACTTCCTTGTTTCTTCTCACCCCAAACAAGCTTGACTGTGTGACCCCAGGCAACCAGGCATTTTTCTCTGTCTCTCCCTTGTTCTTTATTCTTTATCCTATAAAAGCTGCCTGCCTTCTGCCCCATCCTGCAGTTCTCTGAATGGAGACTGTCCCCTTCATGAAGGGCTAAATAAGTAAAATTTGTTTTTATGCCCTAAATGATCTTTAATCACTTTTAACACATTCTGGATCTTTCTTTGTAGGGGCTTTTGGCACTTTACCTGTAATATACAAGCAAACCTCTCCCCCAGTTAGCCAGGACCGATTTCTCCTAGCACTGTTATGGTTTTATTTTTAAAGACACAATAGTTACATTTTTTATATAGTTGGGATTTCGGTTGATTCATGGAGTGAGGCTGGTATCCAGATTTATGTTTTTCCAGATGGCTAAGCGTTTGTCCCCACAGGTACTGAATAATTCACCTTTACCAGACTGATAGCCCAAGCGCTGCCTTAGGTGATTTCTTTAGTAGAAATCTGTTAAGGTCATCTTTTAGCTCTTGCTTAGTAA